ACACACATCTTCAATCAATTTAATTAAACATTCTTAGATCTGTTTTATTTTTGCCCTCAAAGACCCTTGATGGCAATGTGGCAAAATATGAAAAAAGAAAATATTCTTCACTCGGACTTCTTGTGGTTTGATCGGCCACTAAAAGAATCAGCAATTGGTCTACAATAATCAGCCCACTTTCAAACTCCCAAAGCCCAAGTAAGCATATAATGTGGTGAAGTGGCACTGAATGGGCTTCCCACAGTTGTTAAAAAGCAAGAAATACTGCAAGACAAAGGAATGGAAAATGAAAACATTATTTGAGTTTGTGTCCTGTGGTACAGTAAAAGAAAAATTAGAAAAGAATCAAGAGACATGGTTCTGACTCCATCTCCATCACAAACTGGCCATCTGACCCTTCATCCACTGATCTTGGATCTCCTTTGTCAAGTAAGAAGCCAGCTTCCATTGCAGAGACTGCTCCTCAATCAAAATTCTACTCTCCTAAGGAGGAGTCTTGTGTACAACTTTTAACTTGAAGTCGAATGCATTTTGGTTTTTAGTATCTTTGTTTAAGCATAAAAAAACCTCTATCATCTCAACACCACACCGTCTATAACATGAGCTAGAAACGGAGACAACGCAAGCAAAACAAAGATTCAGAATCACAGTTGAGACAGAGTAAACATGACAGAGAGGGAAGGCAYGGTGAAGTAGAGCTGCTCAATTCATGGCAGCTGGGATTCTGAGAGAGAAAAAGAGAAAAGGGCCAGGGACAAGATATATATTTCCAGGGAATGCCCTAGTGCCCTACTTCTCCAACTAGGCTCTAACTGCTATAGTTCCTATCACCTCCCAATAATGCATTCAATTATGAACTCATCAATGGGTTAATCTAATTGAAGAGGTCAGAGTCCTTCCCAAAAGCCTACCTCTGGACATTGCTACACTGGGGACCAAGCCTTAAGCACATGAGCCTTTGGTGGATGTGAGGTGGTTTCTCATTGTGGTTTAAATTTGAATTTCCCTGAGGACTAAAGATGTCAAGCATCTTTAATCTTTCCATGTACATCTGATATAATTCCTGATAAAGGAAGATTATGTTTTCCATTTTGTTTATAGGAAAGAGACAGAGGAAAAACTGAAGTCTGTGTAGGGAAGGAGTGAGCAGATCCCTGGATGGTCTCAGCAGCCCTGATAAAGAAGGAGGACACTCAGGCCCTCTGTGGGCACAATGGTGGCATGCAAAGGGAAGTCTCCATCCAGATCAGAATGGTGCAGGCTAGTCTCAGTGGGCCACAGGCCATGCCAATGGAGCCAGTTGACCATGAACTGAAATTTTTGAAATCACAGCTAAAATAACTCCTTTTTTCTGTTAAGTTGCTTTTCTCAGGTATTTTGTCACAATTACAAAAAAAAAAAAAAAAAAGAATCAACTAACACTATTAAAAATAAAAGCACATGAAAGTAAAACATTTCTTTAAATTTTATTGTTCTTGAATGAGAACAGTTCAAAACTGGGAGACCTC